ATTAGCGACCGAGTGAATTGCTTCAGAAGTTAGAGATTCCGGGGTGAAAATGGGAGCGGATCACTATGGATTTCGTTGTTGGACTTCCACGGACTCAGTGGAAGTTTGATGCAGTTTTGGTAATTGTAGATATGCTTACCAAGTCGTCTCATTTCCTTCCTGTGATGACTAGCTATTCTTCTGAGTAGTTGGCCCGAGTTTATATCCATGAGATTGTCAGACTTTATGGCATGCCGGTATCTATCATCTCTAACTGGGGCATGCAGTTTACATCATGGTTCTGGAGAGCCGTATAACATGAGTTTGGTACTCAGGTGCAGGTGAGCACAATATTTCACCCTCAGACGGACGGATAGTCCGAGCGCACTACTCAGATTCTTGAGGGTATGCTCCGTGCGTGTGTGATGGAGTTTGGAGGTTCTTGGGATTAGTTCTTGCCACTTGCAGAATTTGCCTACAACAGCAGCTATCAGTCCATCATTCAGATGGCGCCGTATGAGGCTCTATATGGTAGGCGGTGTTGGCCATCAGTTGGTTGGTTTAAGCCGGGCGAGGCTAGATTATTAGACACAAACTTGGTTCAAGACGCTTTGGAGAAGGTTAAGGTGATTCAGGATAGACTTCGCACAACCCAATCTAGACAAAAGAATTATGCGGACTGAAAGGTTTGCGATATTTTATTCATGATTGGAGAGCGGGTCTTGTTTCAGGTTTCGCCTATGAAGGGCATTACGAGGTTCAGAAAGAGGGGCAAGATGAGCCCAAGTTTTATTGGTCCCTTTGAGGTGTCACGGAGTGTTGGAGAAGTTGCTTATGTGCTTGCCTTACCTTCCAGCCTAGTAGGAGTTCCTCTGGTATTTCATGTTTCGATGGTCCGGAGGTATCACGGTGATCCATCTCACGTGTTGGATTTTAGCTCAGTCCAGTTGGACAAGGATCTATCTTATATTGAGGAGCCAGTGGCTATTTTGGACAGGCAGGTTTGAAAGCTGAGGTCAAAGAACATTGCATCAGTAAAGGTTTAGTGGCGGGGTCAGCCGGTCGAGGAGGTGACTTGGGAGACTGAGTAGGATATGCGCAGCCGTTATCCTCATCTTTTCACCACTTCGGGTATGTCTCTACGCTCGTTCAAAGAAGAACGAATGTTTTAAGAGGGGGAGGATGTAACGACCTAGCCGGTCGTTTTGAGAATTAACGCCCCAATCCCCTATTAACTTCTTCCCCCATATCTGATTCTGCTATTGTAACTAGCCGGGATGATTCATTTTGAGTTTTGGAGTATTTTGGGCCACTTAGTCTCTAAATGAGAGCTTAAGTCTTAGGATTTGGACCACAGTCAGAACAGTGTGAAAACGACTCTGGGATGGAGTTCTGTCAATTTTGTTAGCTCTATTGGGTGATTTTGGGCTTAGGTACGTGTGCGGGTTGTATTTTGGAGGTTTGTAGCTTATTTAGGCTTGAAATGGTGAAAGTTGAACTTTTGGAGTTTCGGGTCGGTAATGGAATTTTTGATATCGGGGTTGGAATCTAATTCCGGAAGTTGAATAAGTCCGTAGTGTGGAACATGACTTGTGTACAAAATTTGGGGTCAATCAAACGTGGTTTGATAGGTTTCGGCATCGGGTGTGGAAATTTGAAGTTTCAAGTTCATTAAGTTTGGATTGGATGGTGATTTGTGTTTTTATTGTTGTTTGAGGTTATTTGAGGGCTCGACTAAGTTCGTATGGTGTTTTAGGATTGGTTGGTATTTTTGGTTGAGGTCCTGCGGGCCTCGGGTGAGTTTCGGGTGCTTAACGGATTGGTTTGAGACTTATGTAAATTGCTGAAGTTGCTGCACCTGGCGTTTTCGCACCTGCGCATTTTGGATTGCAGGTGCAGAGCCGCAGAAGCAGTTAAGGAACCGCAGAAGCGAAATTTGGCCTAGACCAGCTGGGTCCGCAGATGCGCTAAGGAATCCGCAGAAGCAGAGGTGCAGAAGCGGATGGGGACCACATGAGCGGGCTCCCAGGTATGGCCCAGTGCTCGCAGATGCGGTCCCAGCCCGCTTAAGTGAATTTCACTCTTGCAATGGAATTTCCGCAGGTGCGGCGCCGCAGGTGCGAGGAAGGGTCCGCAGAAAAAGAGGGAATTCGAGGGTTTGGTGTTTCTTTCCATAAAATTCGATTTTGAGCTCGGAGGAAGGCGATGTTTCGAGACTTTATCAAAGGAAATCTTTGGGTAACGATTCCTAATCCTATTTTGATCGCATTTCATTAATCTATTGTTGTTTTCTTCATTTAATCAAGGAATTTGAGTGAGAAGGTTGGAAAAATGGGGAAAAGTTTCCTAATTGAATTTTTGAGTTTTGAGTGGAATTTTGGCATCGGATTTGGATGATTTTGGTACGAGTGAACTCGTGAGAGAATGGATATTCATAATTTATGACTTTTACCTGATTCCGAGACGTGGGCCCAAGGAGGATTTTTGGGCGTTTTCTATTTTCTTGCCTTAGCTTTTATTTTATTAGCTAAATTAGTTGTTTGTAGCTATATTTACGTTATGTAATTGATTTGGCTAGATTTGGGCCATCCGGAGCCGGATATTCGTGGAAAGAGCATTATTTCAGATTGATTTGAGCTTGGTTCGAGGTAAGTGGATTGCCTAACCTTGGCTTGGGGAACTCCCCTTAAAATTTGGTATTGTTTGATATGTGAGCACCGTGTACGTGAGGTGACGAGTGCGTACACGGGATATTATTAAAACCCCCCATTTTCATTAAGCAAATATTTGTTTTTTTTTTCCTTTAATTGAGCAACACTAGTATATGTAACTATCATGTTTAGTTAAGGAAAGCATGCCTACGTGTTTTAACTGTCTTAACTGCCTATTTGAACTCTATGTAGCATGTTTTAGTGAAATTACATGTTCTTCCTTGATACGGACTTAATCTAAATTGTGACTTTCTTGATGTAACTGTTATCTCTGTTTGGTTGAGCTGCATATTTACTTTGGGACTACGAAACGGTATTTCGGAAGATCCCCCAACATTGCATATTTACTTTGGGACTACGGAACGGTATTCCGGTAGATCCCCCTGAGCATTTATGTTTGGGACTACGGGACGGTATCCCGGGAGATCCCCTGTTGCTATTGCTGCGTTTTGAGCTGTTGTTCTTCTATGCTTATTTCCTGATTAAAATTTCAGTGTTTATTTCTTTACCACGATATTTCTTTCTTTTAAATTTTATTATATTTAAACTAGTAGGGCCCTGACCTGATCTCATCACTACTCGATCGAGTTTAGGCTTGACACTTATTGGATACCGTTGTGGTGCACTCATACACTTTCATGCACATATTTTCCGTGTGCAGATCCAGATACTAGCTATCGCCTCGAGTCTAGTTGTATGGTTGCTGTTTCAGGAAACTTTATGGTACATCTGCCGCATCCGCAGATCTTGGAGTCCCCTTCGATACCCTTATGTTGATTTTCTCCCTGTTTTCTTCAGACATAATCTATAGAGCAGTTAGAAACTCTTAGAAGCTTGTGACATTGCGACATTCTGGGTTTTGGGAAAAGTGAATATTGTATATGCCAAGCGGCATCGTTTCTACTTATTTACTATATTCGTTAGCTGTTATATTTTTGTGTCTATTTCTTTTCCGCAGTATTAGGCTTACCTAGTCGTAGAGACTAGGTCCGTCACGACAGTTCACGGAGGGAGAACTTGGGTCGTGACAACAAGAGTTCCGGTTACGGTGGAGCAACCAAAGCATTAGAAGGAAACATATACAACAAAAATATCATCTATAAAAAAAGTGTTCGGTAAGATACCATCACATTAGACATCTTTAAACTACAATAGATAATTATCTACTTAACATGACTAAAATTAATCATTTGTGTAAGTTCTGATGATGTCCTTTCATTTTGAATTCGCGTATTATGCTAATGTACAATATTTTTCGGCATTTAAATGGTTGTTGTATTATTATATGTAAAATTTCTCTCATTAATTAGAATTTATTGTTCCTTCGTATAAATAAATATGTAAATCATCATGTGCTATTATTAACATGCAACGCACGTTTATAGATACTAGTATTAATTAAATACATCAACCATATAGTTCTGGCTTGGAGGTCAGAAATCCGCGGCCTACTCTTTAACCACCCTACAAGGGAGGTTGCGCTTTCTGAATGGCGGGATGCTAAAGAGATGGCTATGAGACTACTGCAATCAAGTAATCGACCAAGTAATTCACATACATAGTAAAAGAGCATTCCAGCCCTAGTGTACTTATCCACCGAGCATTTCTTGGTTTTGATTGTTTCAAATGTCTTGTCTTGAAAATCCTAGAGGAATGTTGAATTTCTGGTCAAGAGATTATGTTGAAATTTTGAAAATCCTTAATCCATCATCACAAGAATCAGTATGTTCAAGTATAATCACTTTGTCATTCTTTTGCTTAATTAGATCGTTAACCTACAACAGCTGTTAAGTATATGCATATTGGATGATAATTCTGATATATAAGCTAATAGTGTTAAATTTTTTTACACAATCATCATATTTTAATCAACTGTAGTAGCTAATGCACCTTATTTTGTTGTATGAACAATTACGTGAAATTATTTGTTAAGTAATCCTTTTTATGCAGTCATCATATAAAAACTGAAATCTAAAAGGAAAAATCTCTACTAACGATAGAACCTATAATAAAGTCGCAATTTTCCCAAAGTTAAATGACGTACGTCAAGATCATTAAAGGGAGTTGAATTTCCTTGAGTCAATAGACCTTTTTTGACATTTTCTTGGTTTCAATACAAATATTCAAAGTCAAAACCAACAGATAGTACCGCGGAAAGTCAAGATTACCTAACTTAGTTTTTTTTCAAAAACAAAGAAGGCAAAACATAGAGTTGCCATTAATTTAACAGCTGATCAGAAAATTACAACTGCATGAGTAAATTAAACTGCATATCCAAACGTAAATAACTAGACATATAATCGTTCATGACTACTTAAACTGGGTTTTGTCAGATTCCAAACTAAGAAGCTCCTCCAACAAGTTATCATCCAAGTACTCAAATTCAATCACTTCTTTGACTTCATTCCCATTCTGAACAGAAGAATAGCTTGACGAACACGAGGAAGATGATGACAATGGACATGATAAGGAGGAGAAAGATGGATACTCATGGGGGAAGTTAAGAACTGCAAAACGACCTCTCATTTCAAATGCAGCTTTATCATAAACTCTTGCAGCTTCTTCTGCAGTAGCATAAGTTCCAAGCCAAACTCTCACCCCATTCTTATTGGTATCCCTTATCTCCGCTGCGTATTTCCCCCATGGCCTCTTTCTTACTCCTCTGTATCTTACTTCTTCTCTTGATTCCTTATTGTCATTAGCGTTAACTTGATCCATGTTTCAGTCGCATGCAGGTGATGTAAATAGATAATAAGTACCGTTAATAGTTAATATGGTGTTATTTATAGTGAGGGGACGTCTAAAAAAACATTCAAGATTATTGCAATTAAAAAAAGTTTTCAGGGTGAATCTTAGTACGTGATGGCTTTAGGCCTGGCTTCCTTTGTTATTTGTTCTTTAATACTATTACTATTATGTTTCTTTTTCAGATGGCTATCTAAAGTCAAACTTTAGGGAATTTAGATTGATTGTAATTGGTACGCCATGCTCCAATCAAGAGGCAGCCCTTCCTATTACTATACCATATTTAAATATGTCTAGCTAGTAAATATTCGATTAATAATTAGAATCTACATATGCTAATTAATAGGTTGCTAGCTAGATACCATGATGGTCCCCAAAAGTGATGTCCATAGGAATGACGGTCTTGAGGTTGTCATATATATACTGAGTTAGAGGCCTTTTAGGGATTAATTAATTTTTGGTATATTTAGTGGAGAAAACAGAAGTATAAGGATAGATAGGTCCACCTAAATGATTCTTCAAGGTAGTAGGTTAGATTTGGTTCGTACAAGTGGCTTGTTAATTTTAATTCATGTGCAATCGTAGTTAATTGAAAAGCATGAGATGATACGATTAAATTACTGATAATGTAAGCATATATAGTCTGTATTCATAGAATGAGGAAATCAGATGTTGCATTGAGCTTTAGATATCAATTGACACAATACTATTCACAATAATTAAATAATTATGTTAATAGAATGTATTGATTGTATCTGGACTTCTTGCTTGATGGTATCCAATTCTCATTTAAGCTTTAATTTGAGGTCGCAGGTTCGAGTATTTCAAAAGAGATTTTGTTTGGTTATAGTAAAATGTTAATGAAAGTATAGGTTTAACAAGACTTTTGTCATCTCTATGCTAAATTTGGTGTAATTTTATCGAGTGATTGGAAGATGGAAACAAAACTCCTGCTATCTATATATGTAGCAATTGAATGCCCTTAATTATGAGCTTTGTTAAAAAAAGAATACACTTATGAGCATTTGTTTGACTTATGGACTGTGTTTGAAATGTGTTCACATCAGTGACCATACTTTAACACAAATCTTTTAACAAATTCTAATTGAAACTGTAAGAGTTGAAGTTGGAACCGAAATAATCTATGATCACGTACCAGTAAAAAGAAAAGGCTTAACTAAGCAATGGCTAAAACTCGATTTAATTCCATTCAAAAGTTTCAAGAGAAAATATTATCCTTTTTGTTTTCTTCGGAAGATACTATTCTCTCCATTCCTATTTATGTGATAAAGTTTGAAGTAGCACGTAGTTTAAGAAAGAAATAAAATCTTTTGAAATTTGTGGGACATAATATTTTTATGGCTATAAAAATTTCTCATTATTTAAATTAAAAGGGAAAGAGAAAGTTAAATATATAATTTTCTTAGAAACGGATATAGTTTCATAAACTGGATCGAAGGAAGAAGTATGTACTTCCAATATTTATTAAGCATCATATTGCATATGGGGACATTTCTAAAAGCCTGAAATAGAATACTTCATTAGAGAAGCATGTCCATTTATTTAGCAATTAATCTTGAACGCCTCTAGTGTCTTCTGAGAATCCTTTTTGGCCACAAAGTCATCAAGAAACTCCTGATATTTGAAAGCCCGAAAAAGTGCAGAATTGCCACCATTGACAAGAGCCTTTGTTGGCTCCACTATGCAATCTCCAGCAGGAGCAACAAAGGTCCCTATTGAAGTCCGACCACTTTCTGAATTCGTAATTGCACGGTGTTCGCCAGCTACTAGCTTATTGTTGCTGATAATCTGCATTTAAATTCGTAAACATCAAACAGGACGAGGCATGAGTAGATTACAAGGAACTAAGTTATATACTAATAATGTAATAAATATCTTATACTATCAGTGTAGCTTAACCTACGATAGCAGGTAACTTGCATTTTTTATATTACTAGGTTACTAATTAAAGATTGGAATAGAAATTTACTCGTAATTACCTTACAAGTACTTCTAACTTGAAATACTGTAATTAACATAATTCCTTTGACAGAATGATGGACATAGCCTTTAGGCAGGGGCGCACATCATGATCGACTCGAATTGCATACATAGTGGAAAAAATTTATGACATATACTTCACGTCAATTTGTAGTCATTGTCACAAAAGAATAGTTGAGTGTAATGGTACACTTTATAGTTAATATACCTGCAGCTGGTAACCAATGATGACAACAAATGCATAGGGAAGAGGATGAACCCCAACCCACTGGCCATCTTTAAAGACCTGAAGTCCATAAACTTTCTGCTGAAGGAAAGTTATGAGGTTAGGGTCACAGTGAGGAGGTGAACCCATGGCTGAACTTGGGTCTGGACAAGGGGGATAATGGTTCACAACCAGCGCCTGCCTTTCACTCAACTCCTTCCCAAAATGCCCTTCTTCTAGTCCCAGTCCTTCACCTATCAGTTCCATGATCCTCTTGCTCAAAGTCCTCATTTCTGATGAATATGTTTCAACTAGCTCCCTGTACATAGAAATTCACTACTCTCATTTTATATTATGCTCTGTAGTACATTTTGGTCCACTCCAAAATGATTTGACACGTTTATAAATTTTTAACATTCTCATCTTATCGTTAGCAACATGCTTTTTGCTCAATCGACCGGCATGTTGTAGATCACAAGATTCAAGAGTACTTTTAGATATTTTTAAATTTTGTGTCTAGTCAAACACTGGCATATGAAATGAATTACCTAATTGGTTTGTAATTCTTGAAACCTGAGTCATGTCTATCCAAGTGCATAGGCTAAAATAACCAAACCTTGCTTGTAGATTGGATTAGCTATAACTAATAATGCATTCTAATTCTGTCATATTAAGTGAAAGCAAATATAGACATGGCATGTTACACACCTGTATCTAGCTGGCTTGTCAAGCCAAGGTTGTCTCTGTTCTTCTATGGGAAACACTGGCTGTATGAGAAGATCTTTCCAATAATGGACCTCTTCGTCAGCGTAATTCATCCCACTTCCATATAATTTGCAGCTCGTATTTGAAACCTTAGAGCAAAAGTTTTCCTTCTCCTCAGCAGACATATCGAATAACTCCTTAAATAAATCCATTACATCATCCATCAGCTTCTTCGATATTCCGTGGTTTATAACCTGTTGTATGTTTGGTAGTAATTGAAATCAGGACGTTTTTATTAGCATTTCATTAGGATAAGAGAAGAATGATTTACTATATATCGATTTACAAACCTGAAATAAACCGAATTCCTGACTGGCTTTTAGTATTTCTTGGACTAAACCAGCATGATTGGATGATTTTGCTAGATCAATCACTGGGATGTTGCTACCAACTGAGACAAGTTCGCCGGGTCTTTTATCAGGTGGCATTACATAATTTTCAGGCATTGTGTCAACGTTCTTAGCCCAGCTTGAAACAAGCATATTTGCCATTTTGATCTCAAGATATTGTGTTGATAAGGTATAGACAAATAACCATAATGTAGGCATGGGTGATGCTGAGATTTATATTAGCAACTGGTCTACCTAGTTGATGATATCCGTGAAGTCCGATGCTGAGTTCAGAGGCGGATCTAGGATTTAAATTTAAAGGGTTTGGCTTTTAAGATTTTTAGCATTGCACCAATTGTACTGTTAAAATTATGGGTTAAAATTTAATATTTGAAAATTTTAATAGATTTTTACATATAAATTCATACTCCATGTCGAAAGTTATAGGCTCAATTGAATCCGTAGACGCAAGGCTTCATTCGCCCGTGGATCACTTGATTTTAACTTTTTCATTTACCACCAAAGATTATGGTGTGATAGATAGAAATCTTTCACTCTTAACCACAAGTCTTAGGTTTGAGTATTAGAATGGGAAAAAATATCTTGAAAGGAAGTGTTTCCACCTTTAATAACCTTATGCAGCGAGAATCCAAATTAGTCAAGGGCCCAATACGAATACCACAAATTGGCTGATAGACCAATATATATATATATAGGACAAGAGAGTTCAATTAGTTTAGGCGATTGATCCAAGAACTAAAAAGAGCAGAAAGTGACGAATTCCAGATATGAATGAGGTGAAGCAACACCAACTCTATCGAGCTATTTCTAAATAAGAAATTAATTTCTGAATTAGAAATTAAAGTGAGAAACCATAAATTAGAAATTAATGTGAGAAACCATATATATAATTTCTTCTCTTGGTTAAGCACGGCAGTTACAACTTACAAGTTCCTTTTACGTGATGGACAAAATTCTTTTTAGGTATTTCTTTGTCGAGGGAATGAACCTTATTAAATTATAGCTGACGATAATTGCAGAAAAAAGAAACCAAAGAAAGAAATAAAAGTTACGCATCAACCACTATATATCAACAAATAACGCGATTTTCTGTTTCTTTTAATTATTACAACTATCATCAACCTGCAAATTGTAGCTAACTTTTGATTCATTCCAGCTTGCCTTGCTTGGATTAAGTTAATTGGGGGAAAGCCCTTCCAGTTGTCAAGTTCAAATATGGTATTTCCATTTTGGAAAAGGGTAAAATATATCCTTTTTTATCGAAAATTGTTTAATCGAAAATTGTTTAAACATATCCTGTTTGGTCATTTCAACACTACCATTATACTATGAAATGAATTTGCTCTTACAGTCACGTGTCAGTTCCTTATTAAAAGACCCATGCCCAATTAATCTACCCAGTTCAAACTTCAAACTCACCTACCCGACCCGCCCTTCGTCCTTTCTTGTTCAAACTGATAGATATATTTTGTATAGCTAGAAGGATAATTTAGTCTTTATATTATTTTTACATGTTATAAATACCATTTGTAATTGTCAATGTAAATCATTCAAGATAATTACTGTTTCATGGTATCAGATATCCAGGATATTCTCCAAGTCTTCTTCTCCGTATCATCTGTTGCGGAAGCCAAATGTATATAGTGTGAATA